TTTACAGGAGCGAAAAAGGACTTCGCAAAGCCATTGAAATGTATTGAGTTGGCTTCAATACATTCCAATGGAGGAAACATTGTTTCACACAGCGATGTTTCCTATGGGGATTTTCACTCAGCGATGGCAACTCGTTCCAATTGGAACGGATTAACCGGTTTTCAATGCATTCCTATGGGAAATGATGTTTCACAGAACGATGTTTCACACAATGTTGATTTTTTTGGAACCAATTAACATCGTTGTGTGAGGCACCACTGTATAGTTGAAGTATATCCAATTTTGTAGTGGCCAAAGGTTACATTGGATATGGCAGCCCTCCTGTATTAATAACACCCAGTGTGGTGTACTGGATAGAGTGATGGACTAAGACTCTGGAGGCCTAGGTTTAAATCCCCACTTGACCATGGAAACTTAATGGGGAAGTGGAACTGATCAAATCACTCCTTAAGAATCTCACTTACCTTGAAAACCCTATTAGAATCATTATAAATCAGTTCCGACATAATGGCGCGTAACTAACTAATTAATCATAACTTTCTCAGATTAAAATGTTCATTGTTTTCATCTTGCATGGAAGGGTTCCTTTCCTAGCATTTTGCACAATTCATTACTCATACCATCCTGTGCATACGGAAGATCTATTGCTTTCAGCAGGGCAGTCTCCAGCTCTCATAACTGGAAGTTGGGAGATTATGTAACACATTTTGCCTGCATGGGAGGTTATGCTGCTTGTTCCCCTAAAGCAGTGATGCCGAATCTATGGCACGCAAAGCCCTTTCTTCTGGCATGCAAGTGAAACCTTTTGAAGTGGCTGTAGCTGGGATTCCCCCTTTCTCTTCCTGTTCTGGGTCCTTTAACTTCCTGTCTGTCCCCATGATTCCCCCTTTAACTTCCTGTCTGTCCCCATGATTCCCCCTGAAACTGCCACTTTCTGTTCTGGTTCTGGTCTTCTGGGTGGCGCAGAAGCCACTGGTTTCTTCACCCCCTCCTTTTGGGCACTCGAGCTGAAAAAGGTTTGCTTCCACTGCCCTAAAGGCAGCAAAACTCCTCTGCAGGTGCGGTTCAGTCTTTATTAGTGCGCTGTTTATGGCAAGGATGGAAACCTTGTCATTATCTAGCTGTTGTGAGACCACAATTCCCATAATTCCTGAATAATGACTGTGTTGGCTGGGGCTGTTGAAAATTAGAGACCAGCATGTAGAGAGCCACACATTCCCCACCATAGTTGAATGATGTTCAGTATCATCACAACATATGATCGTAATTAATTTCTTCAAGGCAGATGATTCAACTTACTGAAAATGGTTAATGAACCTTTTGTGGCCATCAGCATAGTCTCAGGAATCATCCCTGCCTTTCTCCTTACCCAGAAAAAAAAGTTAAGGCAGTTGAGGAGTTAGAAGGTTACAATATAGATCTGACAGTGTGCATCTTTGTAGGTCACAACTTATATAGGCCTGCCCTGGCCTGTGATTACTTGTAGTTTAAAAGTTCATGATTAATTTGTGATCGGGGGGGGGGATAGTCCCAAGGTCTGGGTTCTCGGATCTGTTACTAAATTTGATGCACTCAATTCTTGCCAAATTTCAGTTTCAAAGTAAACTCAAGGTCTTCAGATACACCGTGTTCTGGGAACTGTTATTAGCTCAATTTTTCACATTGGTTGAGGGAGTCCAGTAAAGCCATTGCTATTACATATTGATAGATTGAAGCAGATTGAAGACTTGTTCTAATGCTAGAACAAGTCTTCAATCTGGTTCAATCTATCAAATATATAGGTTACAATACAAGTTGGAAGGTTATATGTAACCTACCAATTTGTATTGTAACCTTCCAGTTTGTAGAAGGTGCCTCTCATCTTTTCTGTTGGTCCACTTGAAATATTGTTTCTTTTCTAGATGGTGATGCCAGGAGATGTAATGGAGATGACAGAGTTTCAGGATAAAGCAATCAGCAACTCTCATTATGTGCTGGAACTTACATTGCCAAATGTGTATTTAACATTACCAAATAAGAGTTTTTATGAGAAACTTTACAATAGGCAAGTATAAACACCAGCCTTTCGTTTGAATTCCTGGAATGGGGTAGGAGATTACTTTGACCTGTTTCCCACTTTCCCACCTCCCACACCCATCCAAAGGGTTGATTTGCTGATCTTCTGGAGCAGACTTTGGAGAGATGCCAGAAGGCAGAGAAGGAAGGAGGATCTGAGGCACAGAGTGTTCTGATCCACAAGTACAACACAGCTCACTGAATTGTAGAACACAAACCTATGTTTCTGATCAGTGGTTAAAGAGTACTAAATGTTAGCAATAGTGGAGGGAGCCATCGAAATAATTGTGGCTTTTTTATTCTTCACCTTGGCCCCAGAATACTCTCCTCCCACCTCATACTGTAGTCATGAGGTACAAAACTACTTTTTGAAACATTGGTGATTTCAAAAAGGACACTGTAAGGCTTGTTGTTCAAAGAAAACCTTTGAAATATTGCTGAAACATTCAGTGATCCATAAGTATCTTTGATATATTATGGTTAGGTGGAAAGACTCCACCAGATCCTGCATCTCTCTGCAAATGGTCTGGATTTAGCCCAGTAACTCTAAATGCAAACTGCATTTTTATGGCACACACTTGACCCTTCTTTCTGGTTATTATTTTTAAATCAGTGTTTTTTGTTAAAATGGATAATATATCTGTATCTTCACATTTTTCCTTCATAGGATCAATAATGATTTATTACTGTGGGAGCCCACAGCTCCATCTCCCGTGGAAACATTTGAAAATCTTTCATATGGTGTTGGCCTTTCTGTGGCCAGTCAGCTGATCAACACATTTAATAAGGATAGTTTTAATCAATTCAGATCCACCATTCACTATGGTAATGTACTTTAAAACATTCTCCATTAAGAAAAACAATCTAAATACTTTGGGATGTGAATATGTATGGTGGCAGTGAAACGGCTTAGTCAGTAAAAGGAAAACCTATACGTAAATGAATTACTTTCTCCCTGAAAGGGATTTTTTAAAAAAATAAATAGCTAAATTCAGTGTCTTTACATTTAAAACATGTTTCCTGCCTGCCTTCCTTTGTTTGTGTCAGAATCACCACAGTGCATTTAATAGATATTTCAGATAATTTGCACCCCATAACAGGCAACATCAAGAGCATTTGGGACAGCCAGCATGAGCTCTTTCATAGTACAGAGTGGTCGCCCAGAGACCAGATGGGTGGGATATAAATCAAATAAATAAATAAATACATGTTAAGTATAATGGCATAGGTGTGAATCTGCCTGTTCTTTTCTGTACTCACAAACAACTCTCATTTAAAAAGAACCACATTTTCTTAGGCTCATCTTGGTTCTGCCAGCTCCAATCTGTAACCTGTTAAGTGACTTCCATGTAACCCATTCCTCTGTATGACCAGGGGTAGACTTTCCTGATAGTTAATTCTTTCAAAATAATTATAGGCATGGGCATCATCTTAGAACTACAGAGCTGGAAGGGACCCTGTGGATCATTGAATCCAGCCCTTGACAAGGAGGCACCATGGGGAATCAAATTCCTAACCTCTGACTGCGCAGCCAGATACCTAAACCACTGAACTATCCAGCAGTCCTGGCATTTTCTGCTGTTTCTTCAAGATTCACAGCTGTTCAGAAAAAACTTCCCTTGCTTTTAGGTTGTGGTGGTAGACAAATATTGGAATGTGCATTTGATGTGGAAGTGTTTATATATTATTTAATATTGAGTCACTTTTGTAGATGATGAAAGTGGGTCTGAGGAAGAAACGCTGCAATATTATTCTACTGTTGATGCAAACTGCTGTTCACGGAGAAGGAAAAAGAATGAATCCCAAAACAGGAATACACAGAATTTCCTCTCGGTTCTTTTAAATGTTAACCATGGATTAGTATCAATATTCACAGATATCAAGGTGAGACTTCAGGTTTAGAAAAATCCAGCACAGGTTAAACTAGTGTCCTTGCGTTAGTGGAAGCTTCACTGTTTTAATATTAAGATATATGGTAACATTTTAGAATTCCCTTAATGAGGGTTTGTTTCAAATACAGTGTGAATTAAACAGGAATGTTCCCAGAAATAATACAGTGTGTATACATACTAGAACAAATATAATAATCTCGTTAAATGGACATAGTCCTTATATATCTTTCTGATTGTTTCTCCAGCAGGACGATGGCAACGTATTTGAAGACAAACATGGAGAATTTTGGTTGGAGTTCATTAGTGGTTCATTATTCTGTGTTACAAAGTATGAAGGTTTTGAAGACAAGCATTATGTCTGTCTCCATTCTAGTAGTCTCAGCTTATACCATCAAGGTACAAAATGGTAGATACAAATTTATATGAAAAGGTGTGTAGTGGTGGAGTCAGAGAAAATGTGCATTTTTAAAGTCTTAAATACCTTGACAGACAAAGGACTGAATCTAAAGCTAATGTTAGGCATTCTTCTATCCATTTATTTTAGGGGGCTTAAGCATACCTAAACCTGTGTTGGATACGGTCCAGCATTTGGCAGAGCTGGTGGCCCTTACGAGTTGAATTGCTATCAGAAGCTGCTTGCTATTCTGGATTTATTTCTCAAATGAAAAGAATAAGTGATGCCATTGCTTGGGATAAGAACCTTAGTTCAACATTCTTTATTTTGTTTTTTCGGACTGTTTGGCCGTGTTCTGGAGGTTTTTCTTCGTAACATTTCACCAGTCTCTGTGGCCAGCATCTTCAAAAGACAGAACTCTGTCTGTGTTTTCCATAGAGACTGGCAAAATGTTAGGAAGAAAAACCTCCAGAACATGGCCAAACAGCCCAAAAAACCTACAACAACCATCAGATCCCGGCCGTGAAAGCTTTTGAGAATACATTCTGCATTTAATTGTATGTTCCTGGTTACCTGTGGTAACCAGGAACATACATTAAAAGCTGGGCAACTACCAACTATCCCTAGTTATTTATCCCTCATCAATAGTTAAAATGTACTCCTTCTGAACCAAATTATAGTCGTCATGGCTAATAACTATTATTGAACATTTCTCCATGAATTTGAATAATAACTTTTCTTAGATCTTTAGGGTAGTAACTGTGATGTTATGGTGGGATTAATGAAATATTTTAATTTTATATAACATATCAGAGGTTATTGGAGCCTACTACATCTAGTACAACTTTTCAGTGTGCAGATTCAGTCATGCTATGGAAATTAGTCTGGATTGTCTTTGTATAACTATTTATCGAAACATTGCAATTTCAAAAGCCAATAGTCAGTTAGTAAACACCACATACTAAACTAATTGGGATAGGTAAACATTGAATGGTTGTGATGGTTATGAAATATCCAAGAAGCCAGACATGGAGCTTATGTCAGTAAAAGGGAAACTGAATGACTTAGCTCAAACTTGACCTATGGATGGTTATTCGAGATTCTTCTGTAGCTGCAAAGCCATGCCTTGACCTTTTGGACATTAAGAAAATGGTGTTGAGTGTTTGGTGCTGAGGCATTTTTGTGGCCCTTCTCTTTCTCTAGAGGGCAGCAGCTAATATGTAATACTTAAAACTTCCTAATATTTTTTTCTGATTACTTAGTTGTATGTGGGGAAATGGCATGGTCATAATAGACATGCTCTGCAAGTTAAATGGATTTGAAATGGATTTTAGGACTCTCTCCTGATATTTTATAAGATGGGAATGTAAAGTTTATTTTGACCAGTTTATGATAAAATATTATGCTTTGTTTCTAAACTCTGAAGTTATTTTGAAAGACTAAGACTGTGGTCACACAAGAGAAATGCCCCCTTCTTTCTCGCATCTTCTGCTTCCTATATACGGTGGTGCCTCGCACAACGATCGCATACCGATGCCTCAATAGGGAAAAAATCGCAGAGTGAAGGTCGGTAAGCGGTTCGCTTACCGACCTTCGCTTTGCGCCCCGCCGATCAGCTGTTCGGCGGCTACAAAATGGCTGCCGGAAGCCACAAAATGGCCGCGTGCAGCGTTTTCGCGCCCTCGTTAAGCGAGGGGAGGGCGCAAAAATGGCTCCGGCCATCGGAGAAACATCGCTGAACGGTGAATACAGCAGCCGATTGGAACGCATTAAACACTGTTTAATGCGTTCCAATGGGCTTTTCTGCCCCGCTCAGCGATGTTTTCACACAGCAAGGGTTAATCCGGAACGGATTAACCTTGCTGTGCGAGGCACCACTGTAGTTACGCATTGTGGTCACATGGTGTATATCCTATAATAGTGGTTCATGCATCTTTTAACCATTCTTCTTTTGGGTGTGTGTGTGAATTAGATTTGGTACATTCATCTACACTCCTCAAGCAGGACATACCCCCTTCCTTTTCTTGTGCCTTTCTCTGCCTCCCTTTCCCTTTATTTTATTTTTCATTATGTGCGTACATCGATGTGTTGGCAAAACATTATTGCTGGGCATGTAC